AGGTAAATGAATAAACTGTGGTACATCTGGGTGATGAAATATTATTCAGTATTAAAATGAAATATACGATCATGATATGGTAAGCCATGAAAAGACATGGAGACTTTTAAATGCATACTGATAAGGAAAGAAGCCAATATGAAGGCTACATACTTTATGCTTCAAATCAAAGAACATTTGAGAAAAAGGGTTGGGAGGAGAGAGGGACAGGCAGAGGACAGAGGATCTTTAGGGCAGTGAAGCTACTCTACAGGATGCTACAATGGTAGATACATGACATACATTTGTCCAAACCCACTGAATGTATAACGCTGAGTGAACCTCAGTGTAAATTAGGGACTCTGAATGATAATGACATCAGTGTAGGTTCATCAACTGTAACCAATGTACCACTCCGGTGGGATGACAGGGGACACAGGATATATGGGAACTCTGTACTTTCTGCAATTTGGCTGTGAATCTAAAACTGCTCTAAAAAAATAATAATAATAAAATAAAACTGCTCTAGAAAAGTTAAGTTCTGGGACGCCTGGGTGGCTCAGTGGTTTAGCACCTGCCTTCAGCCCAGGGCGTGATCCTGGAGTCCTGTGATCGAGTCCCACATCCGGGTCCCTGCATGGAGCCTGCTTCTCCCTCTGCCTGTGTCTCTGCCCCTCTCTCTCTCTCTCTCTCTCTGGGTCTCTCATAGATAGATAGATATATAGATAGATAATTAATTAATTTTTAAAAAGTTCATTAATTTTTTTCTAAATAAGCTCTAAACCCAAAGTGGGTCTTGAATATATGACCCTGAGATCAAGAGTCACATGCTCCATGGACTGAGCCAGGCAGGCACCCCAAATTTATTAATTTTTTTAAAAAGTAAGGCCACTTTTGGATGCCTGGGTGGCTCAGCGATCTGCCTTCGGCTCAGGGCATGATCCCAGTCTAGGGATTGAGTCCCATATCAGGCTCCCTGCGAGGAGCCTGCTTCTCCCTCTGTCTGCGTCTCTGCCTCTGTGTGACTCTCATGAATAAATAAATAAATAAAATATTTAAAAAAAAAAACAACCGGGTGGCTCAGTGGTTTAGTGCCACCTTCAGCCCAGGGTGTGATCCTGGAGACCCGGGATCGAGTCCCATATTGGGCTCCCTGCATGGAGCCTGCTTCTCCCTCTGCCTGTGTCTCTGCCTCTCTCTCTCTCTCTTTCTGTCTCTCATGAATAAATAAATAAAATCTTTAAAAAAAATAAAAAAGTAAGGCCACGTGAGGGACCAAATTTTCACAGTAAATAGTAAAAACAAAATGTAAATGAAACTTCATCTTGAGAAATGAAACTAAAAGTTATACATAACATAATTTAGGTTATAAATGTAACTGTATACATAAGAAGGAAACTAAGTAGGGAATTTTGGCGTACTTTTATCAAAAAACTTATTGATAACACCATAAACTACAACTCACTCCCTATCTGGTCCTTACTCCATTATTGTGCAAATATGTCTAGGGATTTGGACAGTATTTTCATGGACTTCTCTCAGTTTTTTGATAATTAAATTATTCTACTTGGGAGATCTCAGGGTATCACCTTCTCTATCAGTTTTCAACTGTTAGCCAGTCCGTGGGATGTAATGTCTCAACAGGTATGTGTGAGGCTTTAAAAGCTCTCAAACGTTTTTTCCATCAAACTTCATGAAATCTTAAAAGATCTGCAATTTCATTTCACAACTGATTGTGACTTTTACCAATCATCAGTGAGAATGGTAACAAACCTTTGACTTGATAAGCTTGAACAGAAGCTAGAGAACAGCTGTGATGGCAGGCATGGACAAAACTTTCAAGTGGTCAGTTTATTAATGACGATGTTTATGTTACAATAATTCCTTTTTTTTTTTTTTTTTTGAGAGAGAGAGCAAGCGTGAGGAGGGTCAGGGTTGAGGTAGATCTTTAGCAGATTCCACACCCAGCACAGAGCCCCATGCGGGGCTCGATCTTACAACCCTAAGATCATGATCCAACCCTAAGATCATGAGCCAAAAGCAAGAGCTGGGCAATTAACCAAGGAGCCACCCAGGTGCCCTAATGTGATAATTCTTATCTTTCCCTATAACACTCCTAGCTACAGGGACTCAAGCAAACAATAGTCTGGTTAAAAAGACCCCTGTCATTACAGATAAGAGGATAGCAAAGAGGTCAATTTAAAATTCAGTGCCCACCAGGAGTCAGGCACAATTCCATTGCTAGAGATAGAGAGGAATAGAAACAGCCCTCTAAAAAAAAAAAAAAAAAAAAAAAAAAAAGAAAGAAAGAAAGAAAAGAAAAGAAAAGAAAAGAAAAGAAAAGAAAAAGAAAAAGAAAAAGAAAAAGAAAAAGAAAAAGAAAAAGAAAAAGAAAAAGCCCTCTAGGAATTCAACCCAACAGAAATGGCAAAGAATAAACACAGAAATGTGGTAGCTACTATTGCTGTGAAGCTGCGTATGGTTATGAAGTGCTACAGAAAAGACATAAATAAAGAAATTAATTCTGTTTCTCCTTAAGCTAGGCCTTGAAGGAGGAAGTTTAAAAGCAGACACACCAGGCTGCCAAGCCAAGTATAAGAGCAAAGAAAGGCCTAGAAATGAAAGCACAAAGCTCATTCAGGAAACGCAGGGTCCCGTGTAAGGAGCTCATTGCTGCTCGTGTAAGGAGCTCATTGCTGCTCGCTTCTGGTAAGAGGGAAAAAGCAATTTTCAAACAATAGCAACAAAAAGGAACCACTCTAGAAAGGGAGGCTGGGGCCCAAGTTTAAAGCATGCAAACAAGTCTGGATTTTATTCCCCAGCCACAGGAAGCCACATAAACTTTGAAACAAAGAGTAACAATATTTGAGAAATACCTAGCAAGGGGACGCAGAACTCGAGGAGGGAGCCCAAAGCACAAGGACATCCAAAGGCGCCTCCTGTGCCAGGTCTAAGCAAGGACACGGACCTGAACTCCTGGACTCAGAAACAGCACAGAAAGAAGACAGCAGGTTTGGATGCAGAAGCAGCTCACGTGATCTCACCTGCCACTGCAGGTAGAGGAGGGGCTTCTGGGGGAGTGCAAAGGTGGCAGTGGTCCTGGGGTTCTGGCCAGCTGCTGTTACCAACCCAAAACAGAAAGCAGCAAAACCATATTCCAGGGTGGGAAGGAGTAATAGGGTTAAATGTGGGACAGATGGACTGAGATGAGGTGGTAAGGTCTGATAAAGCGCTGCAGAGGGACCAGCACTCAGCCAAAAGCTGAAAGATCGTCAAGAGTAACACCTAATAGCTGGAGCCACAGGAAAGGCCACTGCCCATGGAGGTTCACCAGATTTCAACCAACCCTATTCCCCACCCTCAACTGCCTCTTTTGCTTTTAAAAGCTAGGTATCACCCCCTTACCTCTTACCCTCTTCCTGTGTCCTAAGTCACCTCTTTTCTCCTTATTAAATGGATTCCATAACCACATTCTCTTTCAGAAAACAGAACTAAGAGGCAGTGTATCCCATACATTGTTTTAAAACCAAACCAAAATGAAGCTTCCAAGACCATTCCTAAGACTACTTAGTCTTGGAGAAAAGAAACAAAACACATCCTCAATGCTCTTACAATGACAGTTTTGAAAAAAACACAAAGGTTTAACTGACCAGTGACAGTCCCCCAAAAGGAGCCACAAAAAAACGTCTTAAGGCTGGATCCCAGGGTGTCCAAACGTCTTCACAGGCAACAGGCAAGGGCACCAGAGCAGGAGGAGGGGTACCAGAGACCTAGCAGTTCAGGCTCTGACAAAAGCAAACAGCCACTGACCTCCAGCCCCTCTAGGTTTTTCATCTTACGGACTAATTGACACGGCCTCTGATGAGCTCTATCGCCTTTTTCACGGAGGAATTTTCAGGCCTAACTAAATGTGATCGTTTTGGAGAGTTTCATCAAAACAAAACAAAACAAAAAGTCAGTAGGCAATTGTGAGATTATGTGAACATCTGTTTTTCATTCGTACCTTTTGACTCTCACTGCTCCATGAGCAAATCTGTGAGAGAGGCCACAGGCACAAGGAAGTGAAGCTTGGTTATTGTGTCGCACTGGCAGCTCTGCTCAAAGGCTGGGCACTGAAAAGGAATCAAATGACTACAACTGGATTTGGGGATTATCAGTGGCAGCCAGCCAGTTTCTACATAGGACGCTCAACCTGGCCAACCAGCTAAAAGAAAGTCAGCAGAGAGAAAAAAAAAAAAAAAAACAGAAATGCATTTTTAAAGGTCTCAACAGAAGGACACACACAAACTGTTAAATGGTTATCTCATGGCAGCAGAAACCAAGGGAGTCTGTTTTCCTGTTAAGTCTGAATACAGAACACATATTCTTTTTGTCATTTAAATTTACTACTAAACATTTTTAGTTTAAAAAGTGGGAGGGGAAAAGGAGGGAAACTCCTTCTCCCTTGCTCATAATTCTTGGAGCCTCACCTCCTAAACTTTGACCACAAATACAGCCCTGGGCCTGAACAGTGTCGGCGCCGATGAACCACTATCACCCCCCTGGACACTAACTAATAAATGACTCTCTTGAGAGCGGAGAGAAAAAGCAAACCCACGGACTCGAGGAACTAGAAGCGGAGTTACCAGGCGATTTTTTTGAAAGTCAGTCACGACACCCGTCCGCGTTTTCAAGGCCCTCAACCGCAAAGGGACTTCCCAGGCAAATGTTAGGCTTCGGGACAAAACGCACTTTGTGATTCTGCGGCATTGTTCTGCTGGCCGTTTCCCACGAAACCGGTCCCCGGCACCCCCCCCCCCCCACCGCCAACAGCCGGTCTCCTGGAAGGTCCTGGCGGCGCCGCGGGGCCCCGACCGCGGTCGGGGAACCGGGTCCGGAGCCACCGCGCAGCCCGCAGGCCCCGCCCCCGCGGCCCGCAGGCCCCGCCCCCGCCCGGCCAGCATCACCTGACCCGGTAGCGGCGGGGAGCGGCCGGCCGCGGGGGCCCCGGGCGCCCACCCCGGCGGGGCACCGCCACCGACCTGATGACGCTGATGTGGAACTGGTCCTCGAGAAGGCCCCGCCAGGCGCCGGGCAGGAACTCCCTGCACCACAGATAGGCCCTGCGCCGCGTCCGAGGGTCGGGCTGCTCGTCGGCCGGCGGCGGCGGGGGCAGCGGCAGCGGCGGCGGCGGCGGCGGCGGCGGCGGCGGGCCGCCCAGCTGCTTGGGCTCGCGGTCGCTGGCGGCGTCGCGCTGCTGCCCCACGCCGGGCGCCGGGGCTGCGTTGCCGCCGCCGCCGCCGCAGCTCAGCAGCAGCCCGAGCGGCGAGGGCTCCGCCTCGCCCCCGTTGCAGAACTTGGTCTTCATGCCGGGCAGACGGCTGAGGAGGCGCGGGCGGCCGCAGCGCGAGAGGGCGAGGCTCAGGGTCCGGCCGGGCGCCCCCCTCACGGAGGCCGGGCGCGGAGGCGGCTCTCCGGCTCTCCGACCGGCCGGCCGGGAGCGGGCGCGGCGGTTGCGGGCGCGCGGGGCGGGGGCGGGCGCGGGCGGCGGCGCGGAGGGGGCGGGCGGCGGGCGGCGGCGGCGGCGCTGGCGGCGCTCGGCTGGCCCTGCTCGCCGCGGCGCTCGCTCCTATACCGCCGCCGCACGAGGAGCGCCGCTCGCGTCGCAGCCCGCCCTCGAGCTCGCCGCGGATTGGCTGGCGCCCGCCGGCCCGGCGCATCACAACCGCCGCCGCCCTCGCCACGCCACCTCCCTATTGGCTGCGGTGCCGCCCCCCCGCCCTGGGCGCTGCCGGCGCGGGGGGCGGGGCCGGCGCGGGGGGCGGGGGGCGGGGCGTCGAGCCGGCGCCGGGGGTCTCGGGGTTGGAGGGCAGCGAGCCAGGCGCCGGGGCGCCCCTGGAGCGGTGCGGGGACCGGGCGAGGGCGGCCCCTCAGCGGGGGTCTGGGGTTCGGATTTGTGAGCCGAAAGTGTGCTTGGGCCCCTGGGGACCCCAGGGCGTCAGAGGCCGGGGCCTGGCCGGGGGCAAGCAGGAAGCTGGTGCCTGGAAGCTGGCTCCTCTTTCCGCACGACCTTGGGGCAGGACCCCTCCTCCTGCAGCTCCGTGGGTGTGTTTTTATAACATTTCCCGGCGCCGGCTCAGCTCCTCGCGGCCACGCTGCGTCCAGCCAGAAGCCAGAGGAGTGACTTATCCCCTGGTCAGAAGCCCAGGTCCGAAAGGGGGCAGAGGCGATTGGTTCGAGGCCGCTCAAGGCACCCCGCCCTCCCAGGTCTCCGGCAGCCTCAGTTTCCCTGTCCTTGGTGCTGAGGACGCCAGAGCCTCGAGGCTCGGGGCGGGCGGGGCGGCATCCCGCAGCGGGGCTCTGGCCAAAGGTGAATGACACGGGGCTGCTGGCTTTGTGGGCGCGCCCCGCCCGCCCGCCCCCGCGCAGGGGGCAGCCCCGTGACCGCGACTAATGCACCTTTGCCCGCGGAGGGGGACGACGGCCCTGCTCCCCTTGCCTTGGGGCCGCTGTGCCTCACTCCTCTTTGACCCTCCCGCCCCGATCCTTTCTGCAAGTGGGTTACAGATAAGCATAAAAATTATGGATCCTAGTTTATGGGACATGAGCTGGGACAAGAGGTTTCCCAGGCTGCTTAGGAAATTAAGCGCCTGGATTACAGAAAATGGCTTCTGTGTGGGATTTCAGCCTGCCCGAAAATCTCTTTTTAGATAGCGTGTACTTAGCTGAACTTGCTCCAAGAAAAATGGTCTGATTGAGAAAAAGCGTCCTAATGAAAGGGGGCTTTTGATGAGACAGCTGTAGAGATGGGGCCGGAACACTGGGCCAAGGACCTGGGAGTAGCCTAGGCGTTTGGGTGGAAGGGAAGGTGAGAGTCCCATTGGATATTTGAAAAGCTGGGAAGTCAAGGTCTCCAGTCAGGCCATTTAGATAAAGTAGCCAAGGACTTTGTCTAAAAATAATACTCGGAGGGAGGTGGGGCTGTGTCCACCGGCCTGCGCAGGTGACAGACCTTTTGTCCCACTGTCCCCTGGCAGCCACCTAGTAATCTCCGGAATGCCAGAAACCTGGCAGGGAGGAAAGGGCACTAGAAGTAACTCTGGCATCTGCTGGTTTGGGCTGTTAGAACCCACAGGCGCCTTTATGGGATGGCAGTTCCCTGTGGGAAGGAAAGGATGCCTTTTTAAGGTACTTCCATTTATAGATATGAAGACTGAGTCCTACAGAAGCTGCATGCCTCAGCTGAGGTCTCTTAGCTAAGATGAGAAGTGAGCGCAGGGCATCCTGGCTCCTTTGTGTGAAGAGTATTACTTCCAAGAGGGTAGAAAACTTCCCTCCCCTACAATCAAACAAAATCCTGAATGTAGCTCTAATAAGCTCATCCTTGGCTTGGCCACTCAGCTCCCACCCTTAGTGCTGGGACAAAACCACCAGGGCAGAGGCTGAGGAAGCTTGGCATATCATGATGCCAAAATAATAGGTTTTACATGAAAAAAGACTAATTCTGCCCTAAAAGTAAGGGAAGCCTTGCCAGGGGGTGTTTGAGCAAGGCTTTGAAAGGTTGAAAAAGGCATTTTCCAGGCAGTCCCCTTTCCAGAGTAATCAATGAGGATGAATAATGAAGATGGGGCTTGGCACCAAGTAGGTGCTCAGGAAAAGCACCGGACCTATCAGGCTCCACAAGGACAAACCCAGAGTGATAAATATGTTCGTGACCTTTGAGCTGCCAACCACATTCTCAAGACTTTCTCCCAAGAAGTCATCCAGAGCGGAAAGCCCCATGCATCATACCATCCACTGCCTCACCATCTGCAATTGGAGAAAGCTGGAAATAACCTCAGTGTTCGTCCAGCACCTGGACCAAGCTATAAAAGATATTTGGGTCCATGGAGCACCTAGCTGGCTTAGTCAAATAGGGCATGTGCCTCTAGATCTGGGGGTGGCGAGTTCAGGCCCCACACTGGACGTAGAGCTTACTCAAAAAAAAAAAAAAAAAGATGTTGAGCCTACATGTTGGTGTATCAGGAGTTAAATGTGGCCAGGTCAAAGGTGGTACGAAGGATTCATTTTCCACATTATTTATCAAGGGCCTTCAATGGGCCAGTCATTGGCAGCACTGCATAGTGAGGAAAACAGCTCTGCCTGGCTCCTATTCCAATCTAGAATAGCAACACTGTCCAACCATGGCCACCCAGTGCCTCTCTCCTCATCCCTGTTTGTTTATTGTGTATTGTCCATCTTCTCAACACATGGAGCCTCCAGGAAAGCTGGGACCTTGAATATCTTTCTCCAAACCCATGACAGACAAGCCCTGATGTCTGTGGACACTCAAATATTGGTTGGCTAGATGAAATTCTGGCTCAGGACTTACTAACCATGTCTTTGAACTGAGCCTCAGTCTCCTCAGCTGTAAAATGGGGCTGACAGGCATACCTCAGAGACATTACAGGTTCGGTTCCAGACCACCACAATAAAGCAGATATCACAATGAAGTCAGTGAAGTGAATGTTTTGATTTCCCAGTGCAGATAAAAGTAATAATTCCACTATACTATAGTTCATTAAGTGTACAATAGCATGTCCAAAATAAAAAAACAGTGTATACGCCTTAATTTAAAAATACTTTATCGCAAGACACCTGGATGGTAGAGCATGGGACTCTCGATCTCAGGGTTGTGAGTTCAAGCCCCATATCAGATGTTGAGATTACTTGAAAAAAATCTTTAAATAAATAAATTATTTACTGCTAATAAATGCTAATCATCCTCTGAACTTACAGTGAGTTGTCATCGCAGATCATCATAACAAATACAATAATGAGGAAGAAGTTGGAAATATTGCTATAATTACTAAAATGTGACACAGAGACACCAAGAGAGTCAATGCTGTTGGAAAAAATGGTACCGACAGCCTTGCTTGACGCAAGGTTGCCACAAATCTTGCATCTGTTAAAAAATGCAGTGTCTGTGAAGTGCAATGAAACAAAGCACAGTAAAACGAAGCATGCTGGTGTGATCCCCAAGGCACAGAGGTGTTGTGACGGGGGAACAAGAGGATGCCAGGAGCAAGAAGCACCTGTATTGTTACGTAGTGTACTGCATGACATGGCTTCTCCGCAAGTGGCTGGTATTCAGTAATGAATGATATACATACTTGGAGCAGCTCAGCCCAAGAAGACAATGTCATCTCAGAAAAGAATTCATTTTTGGATGGAATGTACATTCTCTGATCAAAATGTCAATATGCATGCACAAGTGGCCAAGGCTTAAAGAGAAATTTGCTATGACAGGTACTGGGGCTGGAGAGAGGGTGTTCCCATAGCAAAAACTTCCTTCTGGGACATAAGAAAATAATTTCCAAAAGCTCTGGTTGTTGCTGAATTCTGAGAGCAGACACAGAGGGTGTGGGTGATAGGCCTTAGGAGCAATGTGGGAAGGAGGTGGTTGGGAAGTCTCTGACCAGTCCCTGACATTCCTGCAGACTCATGCCTCTGGTCTGGCCTGTGGGACTGGACAGGGGTGTCCCCAGGACCACTGGGCAGACCAGGATCCCATGGGCCACAGCCCTGCCACCAACTCCAACTGCAAGGCCTATTCAAAGGAAGAGCTTTCTGAGTCTGCGCCCCCCAAAATGGAAGAGACCTCACCCCAGGACTTCCTGTGAATGCAGAGGAGACTTGTCCATCTGCATCAAAATCACCTTTGGACCATTAGGTGCAGTGGGGGTTCACTGAGGCAGCAGAGTCCTAGCTGTACTGGGCTTGCCACCCCCTTCTAGGCTGCACCCGGGACTAGGCCCCCCTACTTCTTTTCTGAGCCTTAAAATATTGATGGGGAGTGCTCAGAGGCCAACAGGCTGAGATCCTATATGCTCGGATTGGGTTTCAGTCCCCTCCAGCAGAGTAACAAGGGGCTGGGCCTCTTCATGGCATGCCTGGGTTTGGTCCTACCCCTGGATACTCTGTCAGCTAGCTAGAGACTGGGCTGGCCTAGCAGCAGGTCTCTGAGCCCAAGCCTGGTCCTACTTGGTGGCCTCCTACCATATACTTAGCCCCAGTGAATTCAGGCCACAGGCAGGGCTTAGGGCCTGGCGGGCTTAAAGAAAGCCTGTGACTTGAATGCCTACTGTCTGGTGGATGGAACAGGCCCTCCCACCATCCCCCATTTTGCAGGGATCCTGAGCACAGAGTGAATGTCATGAAAGATAGGTAAAAACCTATCTTTGGATCTTGTGCCTCCATGCCTGTTGTGGCCTTGGACAAGTCACCTACCTGTCCAAGCCAGAGGAAGATCATTGTTCCTACCCTACAGCATTGAGAGTCACTGACACAAGCAGAGAAAGTACCAGCCACAAAGTCAGGACCCCACGAAGGGCAGCTGTGCCTTTCTACTGACTATTAGCTGGATTCCCAGAGGCTGGAAGACAGCAGCCATCACCTGTTGTCAGGAAGGGAGCACCTGCAAGCAGTACATCCCAAGTGCCCCTGGGAGAACATAGCCTACAGGAACTCTGGGGGCTCCTAGAGGTCTAAGAGGGCCT